GGTGACCTCACTTGCCTTACCTGTTGAAGGTTGTTTTAATACAACCTTGCAAGATTGTTTTGAGCATTGAATGAGTTGGGGGATTGTTTTTGTTTTTTTCTTTTGCAATTGCACCTGTAGTTTCTAGCAGAGTGCCTGGCACATGGGAAGCAGGTGATACATGGTACATGTTGTATTAGTGACTGCAGGTCTTCCTGGACAAACTCCGAGGATATATGACTCCTAACTGGCATGTGAAACAGCAGGCTGTGTCTCTGGCAAGTTGAGCATCCAGGTGTCTTCATGGGCCAGGGAATTGGCAGGTAGAGGTGTCTCCTGGGCTGCTGGGCTATCCTGCAGACTGACGCTGCCTGCCACAGTCTGGTGGCCTGAGTCTGAACCCTGACTCACCTTCCCTCTCCTCATCTCCTGGTGGTCTCCACCTAGGAGATGTCTGTGTTACAGAAGACTGGAGAAGAACCAAGCAACACTTAGATAGATGGAGTTACATTTATTATTACACACGGACCCAGAGAAAAATGTCTCTAGATTATGGGCCCGCGTGTAATAATAAATGTAACTCCATCTCTCTAAGCGTTGCTTGGTTCTTATATGGTCTTTTGTAACATTATTGGTTCCCTGACCAAGAAAACCAACCCATGCTTGGCCTTTAGGCCTCTGGTGATTGGACCAGGTTTGGAGCCTGTGGGCGCCAGACAGGCCTCCGGGAGGTGCATGCACTACTGATCTTAGCAGAATTAAACCGGGGGACTCTCAGCACTCCCGGACCTCAGCCCAGAACCCGGCCAGCATCTGGAGAGAGTGGACAGATACCTCTGGACCTATCGACAGAATCAGTAAAGTAGGGGCCCCTATCAGTCAGGCCCACTCCAAGTGAGTGGAAGGGGGAGCTTTATCACCTCCCCAGAAGCCATACAGCTCCCTCAGGCAATTAATCAGGAATCAGGTGAACTGTTTAAACTCTGAGTAAATATCTGGTAGAAGTAAAAAACTCGGATTGTCTGGTGTATAAATATAAGTGTGAGAGCCTGTGTAAAAGCAAAAGCTACTTTGATTTATTCTGCATTTCTGTTGATTTGTTTGGCTAAACGTTTGATTTATTAAAGGCTGAACCTGTGATAATCCACAAAAGTCTTAAGCAGTGCTGCTGAGTTATTTTTCTCAGAGACGTTTGCTCTCTATCACAGAGGGAATCAGTCCACTTAGCTAATAAAAATTTCTGTCTATCAGTTGCTCTTCCTTGAGTCGTGAAGTTGCTGTTTAAATTG